CACACACACACACACACACACACACACACACAACGCACACATACATATGCACAAGCACAAACACAAACAAGCACAAACACACGCACAAAAAAACAACAACCAAAACTCTTATCACAATTAGGAATGCAAAAGCGTTTACTCACCTTTTACCAGATGCACTGATGCCTCTTGATATGGAACAGAACTGTTCTACTGTGGAGATCTCGCATTGGTAAGAAAGCACTCATCATAATAATATGGCAGATGTCTCCTTATCGTGACATGTAGGCGGACTCTCCGGAGACAGGTAAGAAATCGTGTCACTGCTCATTACCTAGAGTAGCTTTGGGTTAACCCCTGAGAAATCGTGAACTCAAGTTAGTGTCTTAATTCACCTTTCGTTTGCTCAAACTGTTGAGTTGGGTTTTTTTCCTAGTGATACCAGTCTTAACAAGTGTAATTGAAACGCTCACCTGCGGTCGTTGAGTTTGTTTTAGTTGTAGCGACAGTCACCAAGAGATGTGATAAATGATTATTTATATAATATGTATTTATAACGTGTAACGCGTGAGATATCGGTGCCATCGCCGAAAATATAATACATAATGTTTACTACATGTCGGAGAAATGATTCCGTCGATGTCAAAACAAGCCAGTTGCTGCCATGAAGTTACCCATGTCAGCTCCACGGAAGACAAAGATTTTTAAAAAATCTATTTTATGCTAGTCGCAGCAAAGATTTTCACAATGGCTGGTCGCTGCCACCGGCGGGTAAGGTCGTTAGAACAAGACGAGCAAGCCGCTGTGTGTTCTCTGGCTCACAGAGATCGAAGAAGCGCTCACTCGCGCCACGAGGCACGCACGACAGTTTGTTCGCTCGCACTGAGCAATGCTGAAGACACGCGCGACAGCTAAATCGCTGCGACATCATCTGTACTTTCCCCTCAACCTCCTCCCCAACCCCATTTTTGTCACACACACGACAACATTTATCCGCGATCGGCCCTTCCCCCTTTTCCGTCATTCAAATCTCTCTCTCTCTCTCTCTCTCTCTCTCTCTCTCTCTCTCTCACATTGACACAGACGCACACACACACACACACACACACACACACACACACACACACACACACACACACACACGCTCCTTC